ATGAATTTCTTGGCACAAGACAAAGGATTGCCAGCTTCTGACTTAAAGAAAGATCTTGCTTGTTGGTGAATGACTCCAGGACAGGCAGATGTTCTCCAGGTAAGATTATACCAACTCACTTCAGCCACCTACTTACATGCACATCCATACATGCAATGTACACATGCCACTGAGCTGAGCAGTTCTGGGGCTCTCATGAATAGCAAAATGATACAGCTGAGCCACCGAAGTGGGAGATGCCATACCTGTGGAGCATCTCCCCGCCCTGGAGCCATTAAGAAAAACAGGAGCCTCTCTGCTTTGGGTGGAAATGACTCTCATACTAAATCCAATGAAAACATGTATCTGACAAACAGCTAATGGTTTTTCTTTTCTTTTGAGCTACAGCCAAAATGAGGTTGGAAATTAACTCCCCCCGCTAAACACACCCACCCACACCCTTCCTTGAATTTTCAAGCAAAAGTGTGTGTGTGTGTGTGTGTGTGTGTGTGTGTGTGTTTCCCTCATTCAAACCTTCCCTCCCACTATCCCAGGTTGTGGCTGTGTTGCTTGATTTAGTGATTTTGGAAAGCAGCTGGCAAAATATTTAATTCAGTTCCTTAACACTTAATTTGCCAAATCCTTTTGGCTAGGAAGATGTATAATAGCACATTTAGAATAAATAAAAATAACTAGCATTAATTGTCTCCACTTTTTAATGAAAAAGAATGAAAGTTTTGACATTTAATACCTTAAAAGTGAGAGTTGTCTATCCTTTTCCTCTAGTGACCACAACAGCAAACCCCAAACCCAGTTACAGGACTTCATGTACTGAACTTTTCAGATGAGGCCAATAATCTGCATCTAATCTTGACTGACCTCTAGCCATCCACAGGCTGGGTTAACAGTTAGAAGTGTCATGAGGCATTTTTTCTTTCTTTCCATTTTTCTGAGAAATTACCTAATTTGCAATTCTTGAACCAATATGTGAACCAAAACACATGTATACTCTGCACCTTTCTGAATTTTGCAATGCAGTCTCTGGCCAATTAATGTGTACAAAAGTGTATATATCTGGGGAAAGTGTACGTGGAAATGCATACAATGATGAAAACCATACAAAGCTGAATGCCAAATGTGACTATTAGGGGTAATTCCCACAAAAATGCTGATGAAATCTCATGAGGATTTTTTTTTTCCAATTTCAAAAATTCACAGGTTGTTGTGGAATTGTGAAAAGAACTGAATTTCAGATTGGAAAAACAAGAAATAGAACAAAACAAAAATTGGCATAGAACAAGAATACATTGTGTACCCCCTCTGAGAGAGGTATCCAGAGTGACAACATGAGCATGGGCCTTCTCACTGGTGGCTCCCCAACTGTGGAATGGTCTCCTCTGAGAGATTCCCCCGGTTACCAACTTTTAGGTGTCAAACGAAGATGTTCCTGTTTACCCACATATTTAGGTCTTAACAGGAGTCACAGGGCCCAGTTGTAACCCTGCCATTATCTTTGGTAGGGCAGGAAAGCATTTCTCCTTTTTACGTTATTGCAAAATGAGCACTTTTAGTCAGTGGGTTTCTTTTTAAATGCATTTTTGTATTATCATGTTTTTATCATGGTAAGTTGCTTTTGAGACATTTTAGTAGCAAGCAACAAATAATCGTAATACATCATCATCTCACC